CTATAGAGATCGTTCTGTCAGCTGTGTGAAGGATAGACCTGGAGAGGGTAAGGCTGCGGACTGGGAAACCTGGCAATTGATGAAGAGGGTTGCCTGAACTTCTATCAACACATTCTTTAAATGTGTTAATACCTTCCATTTAATTTCAAGCCTCAGAAACGTTTTTTATTCCTTTGAAGTGACTTGAAATATTCCAGTTCTGATCACACTTCTCTTATTTTTGTGATTTGGTCTTGGGGTTTTGGTGCTGGTGTTGGTAGTGCCAGGTGAGGGTAGGGCAGAATGAGAGTCAGGCAACTCAATGAGGGTGAAGGAGGCTAATATAACTTCTGTTTTTTTGGCTGGGCTTACTAGGTGCATGGTGGGGCCTGAAGATCTAGTTGGGGAGGGAAGATGATAGAATTAATTGTGTAAATGTTACATCAGACATAGCAGCTATCATAAGTTGTAAATACACATTTATTTGCCTATTTTTTTTCTCCATAAGAGCAGAAACCATGTTTATTCTGTTCTCTATTGTAAACCAATATCTAGCAGGCACTCAGGAGTTTTTTTTTTTTTTGAGACATAGCCTCAAGCTTTCGCCCTGGATAGAGTGCTGTGGCATCACAGCTCACAGCAACTTCCAACTCCTGGGCAAAGCAATTCTCTTGCCTCAGCCTCCCAAGTTGCTGGGACTACAGGCGCCCACCGCAACGCCTGGCTATTTTTTCATTGTAGTTGTCATTGTGGTTTCACAGGCCTGGGCTGGATTCAAACCCACCAGCTCTGGTGTATGTGGCTGGCGCCTTAGCAGCTTGAGCTACAGGTGTCGAACCACACTCGGGAGATTTTTGAGGAAGTTGGGGTAAAGAAGTTCAGCGGGAGGAAGGGCAAAATGGAGCTAAAGAATTAAGTTGGTGAGAATGCAAGGAATTGGAACCCTTATAAGCAGCTAGTAGGGAAGGTAAAATGGTAGAGCTACTGTGGGAAAGTTTGACAGTTTCTCAAAAAGTTAAATATAGGCCGGGTGTGGTGGGTCACACCTCTGGGAGGCTGAGGCAGGTAGACTGCTTGAGCTCAGGAGTTGGAGAGCAGCCTGAGTAAGAGCCAGACCCCATCCCTACTAAAAATAGAAAAATTAGCCAAAAGTGGTGGCAGAGGCCTATAGTCCCAGCCACTCAGAAGGCTGAAGCAAGAGGATCACTTGGACACAAGAATTTGAGGTTGCTGTTTGCTATGATCATGCCATGGACTCTATCCAGGTGACAGAATGAGACTCAAAGAAATAACAAATAAATAGAATGGTTAATTTTATGTTACGTAAATTTCACCTCAATTTAAAAAGAGAAAGAGAGGGCGATTTAGGAGTTTTAGAGGTTGAGCAGATGCAAGTTATTCTGAAGTCTGAGGAAGCCACAGTGAAGCAGCAGTGAGGTTGAGGTTAGGAAGATTAAGGGACCAGGATAAAATGATTGGATGGGTGATCCACATGGACCTTGAAATCACCCGGCAAGATAATAGGTCATAGGGTAGCCTAGGAGAGAATGCACAGGGCCCAGGGTCTTCAGACATGTGCAGTCTCTGCACCCTGGTCTGCTAGGCAATGCTGACAGGGAGGCTCAGAGACGGTGCTAATAGGATGGTCAGAGAGTCCAGTGAGACCTGCAAACACTTGAGGGAGCAGAAGTAGTAACTTTTTGGGAGTTGTGCCAGAGACAGTGAAGAATGCTGTCCCTATTCTCTACCCCAGAGGGAAGTGAGCAGTCCCAGAAAACAGCCAGGGTTTGAGGCAAGGAAGTAGAGAAGGCCAGCTGTGGGGACAAGGGAAGTTGACTCATCATGGGATGGAGCCCAGGTGAGCAC